TCATTTTATATTAGAATTTCTAGTTCAGCAAAAAAACTATAAGATTAATATTTTTACTATAATTCTAGTATAGTTTATAACCACTTCTCAATACTTTCAACTAACATTTATAGTTTATCTTGAGTAAAAGTTTGAAGCATTATTAAACTTTCTTACAATTATCTAACTTAGTCAAAATTAGAATGTAAATTGTTTTAAATTCTAAATAATTTTTTATTCTAATTTTCTTCAATCATCTTGATGACTTTAGCTATCCCTATCATTTTTTTATTTGATTCAAATTCAGCTAAGCATGATGGACATAAAAGTCTTTAATTGTTGTTCAAATTTTGGTCAAATACAACCATGCATACAGGCAATTGATGTTAACATTAAGAAATGAAATCTGATTCTTTTTCTATCATTTTTGCTTTCATCATTAATATTAAATCTATAAGTTCTATTATTAATATTGTTATTTTAATTTTGAGAATGTAATTAAAAAAATGATTCTATCTTTAGAGACTAGTGAATTTGATTGGAAATGATATCTATTAACAAAATCATAACCAATGATAAAGCAATTTAATGCATTCCAGAAATCCAAGATTGAAATATAAATATATATAGAAAACATTTCACCTTTAGCTTAATTACATGATCTTTTATCTTTTAAACACAATCTCTAAATAAATTTAATGAAATATTTAAGATTAAAGAAAAAGAAATTTATAGAAAGATTATGTTATACATAAGCTTAATTTTATTTAGAATCTACAACATATAATTTCCATTAGAATATCGTATAGTTTTATTTCACACATGCAGTTAAAACTCAAACCTTGATGCAATTAGTTTATGCTATTTAAAATTCAAACTTTCTAGATATGTCATTGTTGTAATTATTATAAATAGGCTTTAGAGCTTTTATAAAAATCAAGTTCGTTCCAATCTAATAGAATAAAAAAAATGTATTTATTTTTTGATTAATATTTCTTATTAATAATTTATATGATAAGAATTTTACATATAGAAACATTGTATTTAAAAAATGCTCATGGAAAGTTGTAATTGTTAATTTCAACAATAAGGCATAAAAAATGTATAATTAATTATAATAATTCTAGGCAATTTAACCACTTCGAAAAGCAAAAGTCTTAAATTTGAATCAAATTAAAGAGGTTGAGTTAAATGACAATAAAAAAAGATATAGGTAGATTGTTGTATTTAATTGCAAATGAATCAATAGAAAAATTATAGTTAAATAATCACCATTTTAAGTATTAGTAAATTAACTTTAGTAAAGTAGAATATTAATTTTCTTTCCATGAGATAAAGAAGCATATTGTTTAACATCATATTATTAAAATTTATTGCATAAATTCTTTTTCTGGTTAATAATGACTATTTATTAAATTGCCTTTTGTAGATAATAATCGATAAGAAAGAGACTCCTAATCAGTTTTACTTTTTCTAAGTCTCTCTCTTATTTACCTGAAATTGTAGATTAACAAAATTGAATTGAAAATTTTATTAATATAATTACATTCTGTTAATAAAAGTCCAGAAAAAATCAATTCAACCAAGGTTTCAACAAATAAAACAACAACTTTTAGGTGAAAAAGAAATGCATTACGCAACTTCAAATTTTTTAGTGATACGTTTTTGGAGAACGTTATTTCAATAAACTTTAGATGTATCTTTACAAATTTCTAATTATGATGAATTCTATAGATTGTTGCCAAGGAAGAAGATTTAAAAATATATAGAATATATAATAGGAGGCCTTTAGACAATTAAATAGCTAATATTTATAGATAGTCTTTGTGCTATTAAAGTACATGAATTTAATGTTAGGAAATTATTATCAATATATACATGTTGTTCCAAATAATAATTAATCTATGAAAAAAAGCAAAAATTATTCTGACAGTCCTATTATATGAAAGAATCACATTTATAGATTAAATAAGAAATTAAGTATCAAATAATAATATTTAATATGCAATTGCATAAAAACAAATCAATTTTTTTTTCATGTAATAATCATATATTTGGAAATTCTTAATATAAAAGTCTCATTACCAAGAAGGACTCATTTAGTAAGATGAAATTGAATGTGAAGCTATTGTTTTAGAATAAACGAAAATTATAATTTCTGGTTAAATAAAAAATATTTATATGTTCTTTATAGAATATTCAATTGATAGCTCCTCTCTATAGAAACAATTACTATAAAGATTATCCTTTGGTACCAGTAAATTTGGAACCATGAATTAAAGATTATTAAGCTGATAAATTAAGCTACTTAGCTATTGTTTTATAACATCCAATCTAATTGTTTATAACTATTGGATGAATATAAGGATTGGCTAAGAATATTTCCCGTTTTATTAGTCCAATCGCTTTTATTTCTTTAGATGTATTAAGAATAATCTCTCTCGCATCATCTTCCAAATTACTTATAATTATACTATCATTATTATTTTCTTTGAAGAATGCTAGTTTTACATTAATTAATGACGTATACATTATTTACTTTATTTCCCCAGTTTAAATTACCCAAATTCTTAGAGTGTTATCTTTACTATTTGACAATAATAGTTAATTGTCATCAGAAAATTAAAGTGAAACTATATCGTCTGTGTGACCCTTCAATCGTTTATTTTCACTCCAATTTTAACTATTTAATAATATTATCTATTAATGACTTCCAGCTGCCAATATCAATCCGTTTGATGAATATGCCAAAGATGTAACATCTAAAATATTACTTACTATTTCATTATATGTTGAATCAATTATATTCCAGATCCTAATGCATTGTTTTTTAAATCCAGTTGCTAATTACATCCCGTTTGGAGAAATACAGAGAGATTGAATTTCCATATCTTTTAAAATAATTTTTTAAATCTACTTTCCCTCTGATATTGTAAATATTCTTACTGATCCATCAATATAATCTAGAGCCAAACTTTGTTCATTTGCTGAAAATGAAATAAGGGCTTTTTAACATTATTTGAAAAAAAATGTGTGATATTCTTATAAAAAAGTACAATTCCATATTTTTATATCATTAGATGCACCACAAAATACTAGAGTCTTGCCATCAGGTGCAAATTATATGCATCTAAATCCTTCTAGCTATTTTACTATTGTGACTTCATTATGATTTTCGCTATTTACATTCCAAAATCTCATTGTTTTATCTTTGCTGCAAGTTGCCAAAATTCTTTCATTTGGTTAATATTAAATAGACATTGTTTTATTTTTGCTGCAAGTTGCTATAATATTTATATTTGGATAAAATTATACAGATGTTATTAAATCTGAATGGCCTGTTAGTGAAGTAATTATTTATCCATTTAATAAATCATAAAATTACATCCTTATCATCTCCAGAAGCTAAAATTAAATCATTCTGAGAAAATGCCAAAGTTTTTATTGTTTTAAACTAAACATTTAATTATTTGCTATTTAATTTAGTATTTGCTTCCAAGATTTTTATTGACGAGTTTTCCACTCCTATTGCTACTAATTATCCTGAAATTGAATATTTAACAACAAGAACGGTATTTTGAATATCTATTTTTTACTTAATTTCGCTTTCCACATTCCAAAAGATTATTGACTAGTCAAAACTATCAGATACAATTGTTGAACTATCAGGAGAAATATCTATTGAACTAATTTTGTTTGTATGCCCAATAAATTCTTTTATTTATTTAATTGTTCTTAAATCAAATAATCGAACAATATTATCCATTCCTCCTGATACTAATTAAATTTCATTTGGCATAAATGAAATACAGCAAACTTTTTTTGCAGAAACAAAACCGAATCCTTACAGATTTTTTAAATGCCAAAATTGTATTTTGCTCTCTTAAGCAGAAGCAGATGCCACTACTAAACCACTGTTGGTAATTGCAATCGAATTAACTTTACGTTAATGGCAATATAATACAGTCTTTTTACAATAATATGATTCACATATAACAATCTAATCATCATTAGCATATGCTAAATATTTCCTTTTATTATTAAATGCAAGACAAGTACACTCAGTTTCTATATCTTATTTTAATATCTCTTAAGCTAATTCGATATTCCATAATCATATTGATCTATCTTTGCTTCCTGAGATTAAACCAAATTCTGAAAATGCTATTGAGAGCACTACATCATTATGACCTTTTAGAGTAATTATTGAATTTTCCTGTTCTAGATTCCAAACTCGAATAAATTCATCTTAACATATAATAATTATGTTTTATCCATTTGGAGAGATTCTGATCTTCTAAATAAATTACAATTTTATCTTCAATGTTTTCACTTCTAATCCAGTATGGCTATTCCATAATTTTATTTATTAATCATGGCTTCCAGACACTAAGATGTTTTCTTTAGGAGAAAATACAATTGATGTAATAATTTGTATATGTCCAGCCATCATAAATTTTAAATTTATGTTTGAATTACCTTAAATAGCCCAAACCAAAATTGAACCATCATAGCATCCGCAAGCCAAGTAATCTTAATTTTATGAGATATCTATAGATGTAGCAAAACTATTTAAGCATTCTATATTTGCTATTTGATGACCCATAAATGTATCCCATATCTTAATTGTTTTATCCTGACTACATGATATCAATTTATTTGATGTAAATATAATTTGGAATACTTGATCTTTATGTCCTTCTAATCTTAAAATTTCCTTTTTATCTTAAACATGATATACTCTTATAGTTTTATCTTTGCTACATGAAGCAAGCTTTTAACCATCTGGAGAAAACACTATGTCTGTAATTTTATTTGTATGGCCAATATCTGATTAATATCCATGATGGCCATCTATGTCCCATAATTTCAGAGTATTATCCATACTAAACGAGATTAATTATTTGTTATTAGGACTGATTGAAAATCCTAAGATAAAATTAGAATGAGTTTAAATTCTTAATTTTTATTGTTAATTAATTAAATTCCAAAATCTAATTGTCATATCTGCACTACAAGATACCAATTATTATTCATTCATTGTTAATTAAATTTTAAAAACTGGCTTCGAATGCCCAATCAATTTAAATAGTTCCTTCTGTTCCTTTATATCCCATACTCTAATTGTTTTATCTCGACTGCAAGATGCCAACCTTAATCCATTAGAAAAAAATCTTATTTGGAATAATTATTCTGTATGTCCTTTTAACTAATAAATTTCGAGTTATTTTTCCCAATCCCATACCGTTATTAAATTATTATCTCCACCTGAAACGAATAATTTGCCATCAAGAGAAAACTCTATTGATCGTGTAACTGTAGACTAACTAGATAATTCCCAATAATAGCCTCCTTTTTTTGATTTTTATCGATCCCAAATTATTATGAAGTAATCATCGCATGATGCTATAAACCTTTAATTAGGTGAAATCTTCAAATCCATTATTACATATTAATGCCCAATAAATCTTGTTATTTCCTATGATAAATTTACATCCCAAATTATTATTATCTTATCAACTCCTCCTGATATTAAATACTATCCATTTTCAGTAAAACAAAGTGCATTAACACTGGCAGTATGTCCTATAAATCTTCTAATTTCAATTCCTCCTTTTAAATCCCATTATTTAATTAATTCATCTCCACCTGAAACAATAGATAATCCATCTGGTGACACTACAACACAATTTATATATGACTGACTATTTAATTATTAAATATTTTTTTCTCCATGAATATTCCAAAATCTAATTGATTTGTCCCTACCACTAGAAGCTAACGTTTATCCATCTGGGGAAAATGCAAGGCATAGTATTAAATCAGAATGGCCTTCAAATTTCGTTATTTTTTTCCAAGTTGAAGCATCCCGTAAAATTATAGTGGAGCTATCACTTGATGCTAAAATTTTCTTATCATGAGAAAATTTAACTTAATAAATTTTTCCAATATCTATATTTTCTCCAATTTTAATAATTTCCTAACCTGACTTTATATTCCATAATCTAATTGTTTAATCAATGCTTCCAGATACTAAAAAATTATCATTTTTAAATGAAAGTGATCTAATCTACTCTGTATGACCTAATAGTTGTTTAAACTAACTTTTTTCTTTTAATTCTCATATGTAAATAATTTTGTCGAAACCTCCTGAAGCCAAAACTTTGGATGTTGGTGAAAACTCAAGTGAAATAATAGTATTTGTATGACCATAAAAGTAATAAACAGGTTATAAAGTTGACAAGTCAAACACAAATATTTTTTTATCCATACCTCCCGATGCAAGCATATTACCATCAGGAGAAAATATAACAGTACAAACTTTTCCACTATGATAAGAAAATTCTTTGACTGGAACTGTCTAATTAATCTTCCAAAGTGTAACTAAGCCATCCTTAGTATGTGCAGTAGCCCATAACTCTCCAACTGGGGAGAATGCTAATTGATAAACTTCTCTATTATGAATATCTATTCTTCTTGATTGAATTTCTTATTTTACATCCCATACTCGTATAGTGGGTTCATACTAGCTCGAAGATAAGAGAGTATTTCCATCAGAAGAGAAAACTATAGAGAATACCACATCTTCATGTCCATCAAATCTTGGTTATTCTGAACAAATCAAATTATTCCAATTAACACATTACATTTCAGATGCAATAAATGAACATTAACTTATATTAACATTTTGAAATTGAGTTTCATTTAAATTAACATTATAACATGAACATCCTTAAATGTTAACACCTTCAATCTCTATATATTCCAAATTAATCTAATGCAAGACTCCAAATATTTAAGTATAAAGATATAATCCATTGGATGAGATTCTTAAGAAATCTGAAAGTAAGGATGACAATCTAATAATTAATAATAATTTAGCTTGTGATTCATTTTTCATTCTAAATTCATCAAATATAAATTTTTATATTCCATAATAGGATTAGAGGGACAAATACAGCTGGCTAAATTTACTTTTACTAGCAATCTTGAGAAACTATATGATATTCGGATTGACACTAGCCTCTTGTTTGAGATACAATTTTATGTTTTCAATTAATATTTTTAAGCTATTAAACTTACTTTTTCCATTCATTTTAATTTATTATATTAATCTTTCCAAGAGTTTAGAAATCTAATTCTAGTCAATTTTTGGAAGAAAATCAAGAAAATCAATTAAGTACATAGAGACAAAATATTCCTGTATAGATTTATGAATAAATGAAAATACATTTCCCTTCTAATATAATAAAGAGGCTTTTCTTAAGAGTTTTTTGTTATTTCCTTCGTTGCTATCATCAAAATATTTATCCATCCATGAATCATTATTATCATCTTCTAAGTCTTCTTCTACATCAAGTCTAAGTTGTACTTTTTTCTCATAATTAACTTAAGAAAGTTAATTTTATGTCATATCTATGGCTAAGGCTTGTTAAAATAAATTTAGGTTCTTTTTGAAGATTTCTTCATCTTATATTTTTCCTTGTTCACTAAGTTTTTTTATTTAATTATTTTAATAAAATTAAACAAAAGCAATATAGAAATCAAGGATTTTTAGGTTTTAGTATTTTATGGCCATAAAAACAAGTGATTGATCCTCCAAATTAAAAACTTAAGGCAGTTTTATTTAATTTAAAATTGAAAAATCGTTAAAATATTCTTTTTCTTCTAATTGTTCCCATAATTTATTGGCATATGTAGATAATGTATTTTAATCTTCTTCAATATTGGGTTCGGTTTAAAATGATTACTTTTAATTACGAGAAATCAATAATTATTTTTATTTAAGCTCAATAAATCTCTAAATAAAACGCTTCTTTATCCTATTTATTTCTGAATGATATTCTGTCATACTTGGTAATACACAAACAACTATATTAAGCATAAATGGGGAAATTAAAATAGGCCTTATGCCAAGAAAGTTTATTGAACTTTCAAATTTCACTGAACTCCATAATTCTGAAATCTCTTTTTTCAGATTTAACTACAATTCTTGAAATTGTAGTTAAAAAAAATGTTTTACATGATTTTAAACTATCTCACTTATCTTTGTTACATCAACTTCACTAAGCAATTAATGATTCCGTTCTTGTATTTTCAATGATTTAATCTATTACCATAAATTTTCAAATGTAAAATAATTCATTCTTTTTTACTCCATTTGATGTGCATCTTCTACAAATTAAAGTATCTTTAATTTTAATTTTAACACTGAAAATTCCTTAACATATTATTTTTACTCAAATTGAGTAAAAGGTTGTAATTCTACTTCTTTTAACATTTTTTTTTTTTTCCTTAGAACCATTATTAATATTAATTTTGGATTAGTACTTCAGATCTCGTAGTGTATATTAATCTACTATCTTTCCAAATTTTTTCTATTCTATTAGTACTATATAAATTTTATTGAAGAAATTTTGAATTCAACTCATCATACCCATCTAGAATAAATAAAACTCGATGATCTTGCATTGATATAAAATTTTTAAATTCATGAATTTATATTCTATCAAATTGATAAATATCAGATTAAAGAATTTAATCTATCAAGTTAAATCTCGGTTCTTAAAGTGATGGTAATGAAATAAATATTGGTATAATAGAACCTTTTTGTTTCCAATCATGTAAGCCCCATAAAAATTCTTCAATTTTTCTAGCTAAAGTGCTTTTTCCAGATCCTGCAATTCCATGAATAAGTAATACATCTTTGTCTTAATATTCTTTCCATAAAAATTCGTTGACTTCAGCTTCTAAGTTATTCTATTCATCAACCAAAATGGGTGTTCTTTTTGAATCTTTAGTTCCTTTTTAAGGATCAATTTCCAAACCATATTTTGGGATATAAATATTTTATAGATCGCTTAGCTTTTTGTTTTACAATACTGTATTTTTTCTGATATCTAATAACTCTTAAAAAGACTTTCCTCTTAATAGTGTTATATCTCTAGCAATATCACTGACAATATTTTGCAAATTCTCAACTTTTTATTTTATCAGAGACAATTCTTTATTAATTTCTATAAGAAAGGGAAATGCTAAATCAACCTTTTAACTCATATCTTATATATTTAATATAAAATTCTCCAATTCATTATATTTCTTTTCAATTTCATCCCTTTTTTATTCTCTTACTAAGATACTCTTCTCCTGCTTTAATTTATTTTCTAACTCTTTAATTTATATAAATTTAAACTTTGTTTATTCTTTCAATTTTTCATTAATTAATTGTAAATTTTAAGAAAACAATTTTTTTTAGAAATCTAAAATTTCTTTATTTTTGATAAAGTTTCTCACACCTTAATCTTTTTCATTACTCCAACAATCTACCAATAATTGTTATGCATATGCAATTATATATTATTCTTTTGATTGGTTAGCCATTCTTATTAAAAGATAAACTAAACATTCCCTTGACTTGATGCCTAAACTTTTCTAATTTTAAGAACTATTTTAAATCATGTTATTTTGACTTTATAAAATTGGCTTGATTAATTCATTAATTAAAATACATTAGCATACTTTGTTCATTCCTATGACAATATCGTTTTATGCCTTTGAAAATAAAGATAAGGGTTAATCATTTCTTTCAAAAATATAACTTCTTAAATATTGGTTAGGGTTGACTTCTTGTTGAATGGTAACTAATTATATGTCTAATATTTCATAAAATTTTTAGAGTTATTTTTAAAAATCACCTACATTATACAAAGAAATTATTAATTCTATAGTCAAAATAAAATTGTTTAAGAATTCAATAATTTAATTTACAACTTCATTAGGCTAGCAATTGATTATATTTTTTTAAAATCTATTAAAATTCTCACAAATATTTTTATGAATTTCAGTTTCTAAAGTAATTTATTTTGTTTCTTTTTTTTCATAATCTTCTGAATTCTAATAAAATAAGTTAGAAATTTTATTTTTAAATTCTTCACTATTATCTGCTTATTTATTTTCTTTCAATTAGGATTATATATATTAGGAAAGAAGAATTTAAAGATTTTATGATTTTTTTAAAGTCTATTATAATATCGACAATTTTTCAGATTCTACTTTCAATTTTTATTTTCCTTAATGATATAAATTAACAATCTTAGATAGAATTTATTCTTATTAAACTATAATATTTTAAATTTGAGTTAGAGATTTACAAAAATCAGAAAATACCATTTGTAGTTTATTAGTTTATAGGAGTTAAACTTTGATAAGTTTTCTTGATAAAGCTATATTATGTTATAATTCAAAATGTTTTAATAACTCATCATCATTTTCTGTGTTAGTATCTGCAGTGTTAGTTTTTACAGTATTCATATTTACAGTGCTAATGCTTAGTTTCTATAGAAATAAATTCAAATCTGATTCTATAAGTAGCTTAAAATATTCATTAATTTAATTAAAATTAACTTAATCAGCTCTATTTGAAAAAAAATCAATTACCTTTGTTTCAGTATCAGTAATTTCAATTAATTTCGGTTTAAATTTCTCATGTAATGACTTTAATTCATTAACTTCTTTCTCTATATTCTTAAAATTTTCATCAAATTATAGGTATTTTGTTTTCGACAATTAAATCCACCTTTTAAGAACTGTTTCCAATTGATTGGAATTTTGTAAACTCTTAAATATCATTTAGTTAACTTGAAAAATCAAGCAATAGTACTTTGAAACAAAATTATTTACTTCTTCCCAAATTTTGGAGGCTTTTGATTCTTTTTATTATTTTTCTTGTAGTATTTTCTCATATTCAACTTTGATTTTACTAAAATTCTTCGTAATTGCATTTTCTAGGTCATTTTGATTATTTAATCCAAGAATAATACTATATTAAAAGTGAACAAATTTAAGGTAATATTATAATTTAAAAGCAGCTTTGATGAATTTTATACTATAGTTTCTCAAGTAGTTGGTGCTTTCATGTATATCTTCTAAATACATTTCAGTAACTTAGTTTTATGATTTAAGTTTTGAATATTATGTTAAACTCTCTTCAACCATTCTTTAACTACCATTAAATTTTGTCTGTATTTACTTCATTTTATTTATGATAAATTCAATATCATTTATTGATTTTCCTTCTATTATTTCAGAAATATTGTTCTTGAAACATTAATGTGCTAATATTTGTTAATTATTAAATTCGCCTTAAAAAGTAACATATGCATCCAAATATTTCAAGTTTTCAAAAAGAATTGGTTTTTCAAGATACTTAAAAAATCTAAAGGAATTCCTCAATCCAAATTAATTACAAAGTTCTTAATATTCCTAATAAATAAGATTTTTTTCTGAAATTTAATCAAAGAATAGAACTGCTTCATTTTTATTTTATTTTAGAGGTGATATCAATTAATAATCAATGAAATTTTACCATGAATTAGCATTTTTCACAAAATATGGTTTATTAGTATTTATTAAAGGCCTTTCAATTAAGATATCTGATAATAGTCTCATCCACTGATAATGTGTAATCCAATCCTTAGATTTTTCAACAGATGTAGTAAACAATTTATTTAAGGTGGATAAAATACTTTTTATACTATAATTATTTCTTATTTTTTCAATAAGGAGCCACTTGAGTGTATCGAATAGGTAATATTGTTTGAAGATTTCTATTGAGGCAAATTTTTAGTATTTTTCGAATCCAATCTTAATTAATAAGCCAATAGAAGAAACCAAAGAATCAATTAATTCATCTGAAATACTAAATGATAAGACACTCTTACAACCCCACGAAAAAATTATTCTTTAATCACTTCAATTTCCTTGTAATCTGATGGATAGAATCTTACAGCAGCCTAAATCATGATAATTTCATATTCAAAACAAGTAGCCCAGGCTTGAGACATACTCTATTTTTCTTGTTGTAATTAAGAAATACAATCTTAAATTTGCTCTTTGTTAAAATCCTATATTCTGTCATTAAATTGAAAATAATCATATAAGTTTTTAGCCATAATAGTACATGTTTATAGCAATTATAGACATAAAAGATTAGATGTTTTTATGTATGTTAGACTTGCTTTCATTAAAATTTAGAAGCTATCTGATATAATTTTGAAATATTTCTATATTTCTGATTTTGATCCTAATACATGAAATGATTCTCGGTGATAGGCTAACCACTATACCGCCATCAATGTCAGTTCAAATTTAGATTGATCTGCTATCTATGATGAATTACAAGATATTATTTAAACAACCCTTACTAATTAAGGGATAAAATCGTCTGATATTGTTAGAGGAATGGATTAAGGTTTTTCGACTGAATTAACAATTTCACTTGACTCTTTACTCGTTATGCATCCTCCCCCTCTCAGATATTAGATAATTTCTTAATTTTCCTGTGGCTTTGCTTTATAAGCAAGACGATGCCCAAAGGTATTAAATTACACTTTTACTTCTTTAATTTTACAACATTTTATCTGATTTTCTAAGCCTTTTGCTATACTTCTAGTTTATTTGGAGACCATTTGCTTAAATTGTTTTTATTTTCATATCTAAATATTGTAAGAAAATTTTGTAGTTAAAAAAAACTTATAATTCTACAATTTTAAACCATTCTGTAGAACTTGGTTAAAACTTTCAAAATAATTTTTATTAGATGTAAATAACAGACTTTGAATAAGCTGAGAAATTTTAGGTTACTAACAGGTCATTCTAAGAAAGAGTTACTATTTTTAGGTATTGATACTATTGCTGTCTTATGCATCTATCACTTCTTAAATATTGTAATATTGAAAGAAATAATTTTTTTATAATTTATATTTATGAAATTGTAATTGAATAAAGAAATAACGGATACTATTATAAATTCAAAAAATTAATGATTTAATTAACCAATATTTCAAAAGGAAATATGAATGAAAAAATAGATTCTAACTCATATATTCGTAATGATTAGGAATAAATTAGGCAGCTTCTAATTTGTTGTTTTTATTTTATAAGTCAAAATTTAATAAAAAATTTGAAATTTCTGAAAGAGTAATTTAATAATATTTTATTCATTTTGATGAGGATAATGTAAAAAAACATAATAAAAAAAGAAAATATCATCAATGAATGGTGAAATTAAAAGATTTTTGAAGAGTATAAAATAATGTATTTTGATTCAATATATAATAAGCCTAATGATATTTCATGAAAAAAAGAAATAATAATAGCATGTTAAATGTTTAATTATAATAGAGAACATTTAAACCCATGTGGAATTTTTTAGTATTTACAAATCATTATTTTAAAACACTTATCAATTATTCCTGTTAGAATAACTTTATTTCAAAGAACAAAATTTGCCATTTTAAATACAAATTAATCTAAATCTAAGTACAATCTTACAGATTATGAACATATTTATTTGTTAGTTGAACTTGGTTTATTTAAATTTAATCTTAGATGCAGTTTTTCATGTCCCTTCCTGAAATTCATTTTTCATCAATAACTAAAGCAAATTTTTAGAAATCATTCATCATAGGGTAATATCTTCTTAAAAGTTGTACTCAACTCTTATATAATATTTATAGTTTTATCTATGTATTGTTGAAATTTTATTTTCATGAGGAAATTAAACTTTCAAATTATTAAGATAATTTAAGAAGTGTTTATAATAATTTTCTGGAAATTATAATTTAGTAATACGTGTTTTTAAAGGACTCCATCCTTAGAATTAGATTGATAAACAAAGATTTTACTAAGCAATACTAATATGTGTATAAAAAGTTAATATAAACTAATATAAATATTTATGTAATTCCAGGAAGATTGAATAATCCTATGATTCAATTCTCTAGAACTAAAAATCCATTTGTTAAATTCAATAGAATACATTTTCATGCCAACGGAAGGTTATTTAATAGAATTTAATAATTGCTTATTTAATTTATTAAAGTAATTAATTTTAGTATTTTTTAAAGATATCTTAATTTTGAGAATTAAGTCACTTACAAATACCTTTTCTAAAAGTTCTTCCTACTCAGCTTTAAATTCAGGTAGATAGATTACCTTAGTCTTAATTCTCTTCATGTCAATCATAAGGTTTTTGAAAAATATGATGACATATTTGTAATATTAAATCTAAATTCAATTCATTAATTATATTTTACTAATCCAAAAATCTAATGAAATTTTGTAAATTTGTAAATTAAAAATTCTGATATTTAAACATGTTCAAGTATTACATTTTTTATAAATTAATTTTAATTGATTATCAAATGCTATTATGGAATTTTGTTAGATATAGGGTCATGAAAAAGAGGAACTATTATAGTTTGTAGTGAATTGTAATGTATTGAAATAAATAATAATAAACTGATATGTTAAAAATGTTTGTGTACACATAGAGGAATGAATTATAATGGATTAAGGAACCAAGCTATTAATAACTATAATCAATACACCCAATTGTTGCAAAATGATATTGATGAAAATGAAACGTTGAAAAAAAGCATCGAGGAATATCTGAAAGAGTTATAAGGAAAGATTATGAAAATGCTTTCAAATTTCTAAAAAAATATTTTCACTTTTGTTGATCAATAAAGTTAAAGATTACGAACAAGTAAATGTTAAGCATAATCATTGATGCAAGATTAGAATCCATCGCTTGACTCCTATATATATTTTGCTAAGTTTTCTGATAATAAGGCAAAATAGAAATAGGAAACCACAAAATAATAAATTAAAGCAATTGTGAATGATTTAATAGATGATCTAAATTAAAAAGTAGAATATCTCAAGTAGCCAGATGTTAATGAATATAAAATTATTGAATTTGAACTACAATCATTTGAAATACAATCACTTTTTTAGAAAAAACTTCCTTACAGCGATTGCAAAGAACATTTCTCTAATAAAAATTCAATATGCATCAATATTAAATGTTTAGAATAAAATAATTTAGACTATCATTGTTTAAGATGTAGCAAGACTTCTCATGTCGAAGATTTTTAAAATGATTATTTAGTGGAATATGATAAATTGAAAAAGGATTAGAGAATAATGTAAAATTTTGTAGTGAATAAAAAATAATGTATTAAAGAATATGCTTAAAAATTAGCAAATAATTTAATTAATCAAATAAGAATTGAGCAAAAAGAATAATATTCGAAATATGAAATAGCCATAGAAAATATCAAAAGTCTTCATTAGTAATTTGAAATTAATTTATCAGTTTAAGACAATTAATATTTGTTTGGAAATTTAATATTATAATTTATAACAACAAAGTAAGAAAAAATTGAATTTTAATTCAATTAAGTATAATAAAATTTTGAAGAAAAGCTAAAATGGTGTTGTAAAATGGAGAAGCAAAAATTCTTAGAATAATGCGGATTTTTAGAACAGAAATAAGACGAAATTTTGAAACTTTAAATTCGCTAAAAAGAATTAAAAGAAGCAATAGATCAAATGGATTAATTGCTAAAAAATGCGGTTTCAGAAAATACCTTAAATTTGATATTAAGAAATATAGAGGAAATAAAAAGAGAAAAAAAACGAAATTCAAACTTAATTCTTTGTTTGTTTTACAATTAGGCTGTTCAGTATTGCAATTATTTTTTAATCCAAAAAAAGTTGGAATAAGTGCAAATATATGAAAGATATTAAAGTTAATGATATAATTAGATTCATTATAATTAATATTGTGCAATTAGAGCGGCAATTATGATCCTCACATAGAATTATTTGAATTAAAATCTTTTGGTAGTTTGAAATATAATATTTAACTTATTTAATTAAGTTCTTAACATTTTCAGTAAAGAATTAGATGAAAATAAAATTTAAATATTTCATCTAAAATTTATAATAGTTCTAAAATTTAGCATTTTTTTAAAATCCTAATATTAAATAATATTTCTATTCTTTAAAACAACTAAATCTAATATATTCTTCATATTCTTTTTATCCTTAAAATATTTATTCAATCAAATAAAATAAGAAAAAACCCAATTCATTTACATTTAAATGAAAGAATAAAGACTTAAACTACTTCTTTTTAATATNATTAAATGTTTAGAATAAAATAATTTAGACTATCATTGTTTAAGATGTAGCAAGACTTCTCATGTCGAAGATTTTTAAAATGATTATTTAGTGGAATATGATAAATTGAAAAAGGATTAGAGAATAATGTAAAATTTTGTAGTGAATAAAAAATAATGTATTAAAGAATATGCTTAAAAATTAGCAAATAATTTAATTAATCAAATAAGAATTGAGCAAAAAGAATAATATTCGAAATATGAAATAGCCATAGAAAATATCAAAAGTCTTCATTAGTAATTTGAAATTAATTTATCAGTTTAAGACAATTAATATTTGTTTGGAAATTTAATATTATAATTTATAACAACAAAGTAAGAAAAAATTGAATTTTAATTCAATTAAGTATAATAAAATTTTGAAGAAAAGCTAAAATGGTGTTGTAAAATGGAGAAGCAAAAATTCTTAGAATAATGCGGATTTTTAGAACAGAAATAAGACGAAATTTTGAAACTTTAAATTCGCTAAAAAGAATTAAAAGAAGCAATAGATCAAATGGATTAATTGCTAAAAAATGCGGTTTCAGAAAATACCTTAAATTTGATATTAAGAAATATAGAGGAAATAAAAAGAGAAAAAAAACGAAATTCAAACTTAATTCTTTGTTTGTTTTACAATTAGGCTGTTCAGTATTGCAATTATTTTTTAATCCAAAAAAAGTTGGAATAAGTGCAAATATATGAAAGATATTAAAGTTAATGATATAATTAGATTCATTATAATTAATATTGTGCAATTAGAGCGGCAATTATGATCCTCACATAGAATTATTTGAATTAAAATCTTTTGGTAGTTTGAAATATAATATTTAACTTATTTAATTAAGTTCTTAACATTTTCAGTAAAGAATTAGATGAAAATAAAATTTAAATATTTCATCTAAAATTTATAATAGTTCTAAAATTTAGCATTTTTTTAAAATCCTAATATTAAATAATATTTCTATTCTTTAAAACAACTAAATCTAATATATTCTTCATATTCTTTTTATCCTTAAAATATTTATTCAATCAAATAAAATAAGAAAAAACCCAATTCATTTACATTTAAATGAAAGAATAAAGACTTAAACTACTTCTTTTTAATATAGTACTTTCTTTGAGAGAAAACTATATTGGAACTTTTCTGTATTAGATTTATAATTTATCAAATACAACTCCTTATCGTTTTAAATTGTCTTTTTTATGTTATTTAGTATTAACATTTCTTTTGACCTAATCTCTAAGAAATTAATCAATCACTGCCTATTTTGGATTATTTTGAAGCTCATCCATTACAAGCAAATCGATTCACTTTTATTATGAATCCTACTCTGATGTTTTTTCCATATTACATTGATATCTAGTATACTGTTAATTGGAGATAAAAATTATCAATCGCTTATCATGAGATTGTATGCTAAGTGAGTTTTTATTATTTTTTTTAGAATAACAAACTCCCATAATGAAAGTTAAGAGACTTCTCATTAATTAAATTATTTTTCAATATATACTGAATAAAATCTAAGTTTGGCTAAATGAAGTTTCATCAATAAACGGTTTTTATTAGGAGTTTTGAGATTAGCTAATATATGCTGAAATTGATAAAGAAAATGAAACAAGATAATTAAAATAAAGAGTTGATTTTTTAATTAAGAACTGAAAATATAGTAAGATGCTGCATTGTGTAAATTGAAAAAAGAGAATTGCAAGGTACTTCTTAGTTGAAAAATGGATGAAATCTTAAAATAAAGAAATGAGAAATTAATAGATAAGAAATAAAATGAGAATGGATANGTATAATAAAATTTTGAAGAAAAGCTAAAATGGTGTTGTAAAATGGAGAAGCAAAAATTCTTAGAATAATGCGGATTTTTAGAACAGAAATAAGACGAAATTTTGAAACTTTAAATTCGCTAAAAAGAATTAAAAGAAGCAATAGATCAAATGGATTAATTGCTAAAAAATGCGGTTTCAGAAAATACCTTAAATTTGATATTAAGAAATATAGAGGAAATAAAAAGAGAAAAAAAACGAAATTCAAACTTAATTCTTTGTTTGTTTTACAATTAGGCTGTTCAGTATTGCAATTATTTTTTAATCCAAAAAAAGTTGGAATAAGTGCAAATATATGAAAGATATTAAAGTTAATGATATAATTAGATTCATTATAATTAATATTGTGCAATTAGAGCGGCAATTATGATCCTCACATAGAATTATTTGAATTAAAATCTTTTGGTAGTTTGAAATATAATATTTAACTTATTTAATTAAGTTCTTAACATTTTCAGTAAAGAATTAGATGAAAATAAAATTTAAATATTTCATCTAAAATTTATAATAGTTCTAAAATTTAGCATTTTTTTAAAATCCTAATATTAAATAATATTTCTATTCTTTAAAACAACTAAATCTAATATATTCTTCATATTCTTTTTATCCTTAAAATATTTATTCAATCAAATAAAATAAGAAAAAACCCAATTCATTTACATTTAAATGAAAGAATAAAGACTTAAACTACTTCTTTTTAATATAGTACTTTCTTTGAGAGAAAACTATATTGGAACTTTTCTGTATTAGATTTATAATTTATCAAATACAACTCCTTATCGTTTTAAATTGTCTTTTTTATGTTATTTAGTATTAACATTTCTTTTGACCTAATCTCTAAGAAATTAATCAATCACTGCCTATTTTGGATTATTTTGAAGCTCATCCATTACAAGCAAATCGATTCACTTTTATTATGAATCCTACTCTGATGTTTTTTCCATATTACATTGATATCTAGTATACTGTTAATTGGAGATAAAAATTATCAATCGCTTATCATGAGATTGTATGCTAAGTGAGTTTTTATTATTTTTTTTAGAATAACAAACTCCCATAATGAAAGTTAAGAGACTTCTCATTAATTAAATTATTTTTCAATATATACTGAATAAAATCTAAGTTTGGCTAAATGAAGTTTCATCAATAAACGGTTTTTATTAGGAGTTTTGAGATTAGCTAATATATGCTGAAATTGATAAAGAAAATGAAACAAGATAATTAAAATAAAGAGTTGATTTTTTAATTAAGAACTGAAAATATAGTAAGATGCTGCATTGTGTAAATTGAAAAAAGAGAATTGCAAGGTACTTCTTAGTTGAAAAATGGATGAAATCTTAAAATAAAGAAATGAGAAATTAATAGATAAGAAATAAAATGAGAATGGATATCATTCGATGAGAATAATTAAAATAGTTTAAATTAGTTAGAATTGAATTTAAGTGATTTGATAATAATAAGTGAAAACATAAATCAGACTTACCAATTACATAATACATTTAAAAATTGCTTCAGCATCACATTTGTTTAGGAGGAAGGAATATCAGATCTATTTACTTTCTAAATATTGTTAAATTGAATTAAGAAAGATTTGTTATCAAATCGAAAGAAAAGCATTTAATTAAAAAAAATAAATTTATAGCTAAAATAATTTCATATCTTAATCATCATGTAAAGTTTTCAAAATTTTCTGGTATACTATCTATTCCCCCAAGCCCTAATTGATTCATTACATCAGCCATTGTTGATTCTATTTCTCCTAGCAATTGATGGATTTCAGAGTCTCCCATACATTCTTTAAATAAACATTATATCATACCTGGTTTTTATAGATTTTTAATTTAATCTTCTTCTTCTACTTTAAACTTTTAGAATGTAAAATCTTAGACAATCATATTTATTGCATTGGGTATGTACTCTTTGAGTTCATTTTTATTCTAAGAGATTAAAAAAATTGTTACCATCATTTGATTTACTATGTACTAGAAAGGTTCAGGTTATTGCTTCAAAATTTTGATGCTATATCTGATAATTTCTTTAACTTATTAAACTGATAAATCTTAGTATGATACGATTTTTTCTTTAATTTTTTATTTAACTGAAGCTTGTAGCATGTACAATTATTAGAAAAATCCTTTCTCCATTAAAGCAAGCATGCTTTCTTCGAATATGTCTTTAGAAACTCCCAATCTTTACAAGAGTTCTGCTTATGATTTTTCTAATAGCTCTTCTATATCTTCGTTATATTTAAGAATGTATTGTTTATATAAATTAAGTTAAGAATTTTATTTATAATTCCTTCTCTATTTTCTATTTGCTAAAGTAATTCTTATGTATTCATCTCCTGCAATTTCTATAGTATATTATAAAATATCAACTATCGTTTAAGGTTCTAAACAATTAGTATTCGGTATATAATTCACCCTAATTAAATTTGAGATACTATCAAATGCATTCATTGCAGAGGTGAATCTAGTTTAAATAGTATCTTTTTCTAGATCAAAAATATTTTGTTTTTTAGTATTTTTGTTTACACTTTCATACATATTATTTGAAGTGTTAAGCGGACCTAAATATTCTTGATCTTCTTTATATTTGTAATTTTTATCAGATCTATAATATAATAATCCAACACTATTTACATTATAGATTAGAATACCTTGCTAAGATGCCAGATGTTGTCAATCCTAAAACAATTACTTTATGATCCTTACAAAAAGAGAAAAAAGCACCCATAAATAGAGTTTAATTTTTTATTAATTATTTGGATAGAGTTATTAATTAAATAATAATAATTTAAGATAATGGGTCTTTGGGCATGGACTTTAAATTAGATGTTAACACCAAAATTTTGGACATTAGTGAGAAGAGAAGGTATTGAAAATAAAATAATTAGGATTTTGGTAAACATATATTAGAATGCACAGAGCATAATCTAGATCTAGTCATTATGCAGGAGGATAAAATGGACCAATATAATGTATAGGACAAGATTAATTTGGTAATAAATATTATGAAGATTTTGATGTTACACGTAACTGATTGAATTAAATTGATAGATCGAAATCAAAGAAGATGGGTTGAATATAATGATTATTTTAACCCATGGCATACACTTGGTGACAGAATACCACCGGTTTGGCATGGTTGGATGGCTCACGTTTATGATGAACTTCCATCTAGAACTGGGCATTCATATTTTGTTTAACCATTCTATTAATAGCCAGCAACTGACAATTAATCTCATACTCCACATCATTACTTTCCATAAGGTGCAATGTAGAATTTGAATAGATTGGAATTTATGTACAAAAAAATAAAAATATCCCTTTTGTTAGAAAGTATCACAGAAATAGAAGAGCAGCACCATTTGAGCCTGGATAAGTTTCAGGATTTGAAGGAAAAAAATTAGTTGTTGAAAAATAAACATACTCAGAAGATGTAATGGCTAGAAGAGAATGAATTATTCAAAAAAACAATACCATTTTATTAATTTTACAAATTATTTTAAATATTAATTTATGGATTAATAAGAATAATAAGCAAATAATATTGACAGTTTTAAAAGTCTAGGTGTTTGTGAAGAATTGTGCTTAGCTTGTGAAAAACTAGGGTATAAAACACCTACCCCAATCTAATAATAATCTTTACCCTATACTTTATAAAAAGTATTAAAATATCAAATTTTTAGAAAGACATTATAGGTTTAGCAGAAACTGGTTCAGGAAAGACTTTAGCTTTTGGACTTCCAATATTGCAGCATTTATTAGCAAATCCATAACCATATTATGCTTTAATTTTATCTCCAACTAGAGAGTTATGTGTTCAAATTTAAGAACATTTTTAAGCAATTGGAGCTACAATAGCTTTAAAATCTGTAGTTATTTTAGGAGGAATGGATCCATTAGCATAAGCAAAAGCTCTAGCATAAAAACCACACATTATCATTGGAACTCCTGGAAAAATCCTATACCATTTAGAGAATACTAAAGGATTCAATCTAAAACAATTAAAGTTCCTAGTCTTAGATGAAGCTGATAAATTGTTAAATATGGATTTTGAAAGGGAGATTAATGCAATTCTGGACATCATACCCAAAGAGAGAAATACTTATTTATTCTCAGCTACAATGACAAATAAAGTAAGTAAATTATAAAGAGCTTCATTAAAAGATCCTGTTAAAATAGAAGTTTCTACAAAATATCAGACTGTATCAACACTTTAATAAAATTATCTTTTCATTCCTGATAAATATAAGGAAACTTATTTAGTTTATTTATTAAATGATTTAGCTGGAAATACTTCAATAGTGTTTGTTGCAACATGTTAGATGGCAATCAAGTTAACTTTATTACTAAGAAATCTTGGTTTCTAAGCAATAGCAATACATGGTTAAATGAGTTAAGCTAAGAGATTGTCATCTTTTAATAAATTCAAATCTAAGGAATCTAACTTATTAATTGCAACTGATGTTGCCAGTAGAGGCCTTGATATTCCATTTGTTGATTTAGTAATCAATTTTGATATCCCTTAAAATGCAAAAGAATATGTTCATAGAGTTGGTAGAACTGCAAGAGCAGGAAAATCTGGTAAGGCTATCAGTTTAGTAACCTAATATGATGTTGAAATGTATTAGAAAATAGAATAATTAATTGAAAAAGAATTACCCTAGTATACATTGGAAGAATCTGATGTTATGATATTCTATGAAAGAGTTTAAGAGGCTAATGTAATATTCTATATCATAATTTAGAGAATAGCTACTTAAGAATTGAAAGATTTATTGGAGAAAAAAGTTAAGAAAACAGCAGTTGATGAAGATGATTTAGATGACAAAAAGATTAAATAAATTAATAAGAAGATTTAAAAATGTTCTAAATAAAAAAAGGCAGGATTCAAGAAAAGATTCAAATTAGATGTCTGATTAATAAATTTCTTAATTATTTATCAACTTATTATTATAAAATCAATTTCATTCTAATAATTTACTCTAGTTTTAAACCCTCCAAAAACATCAACATAACTTTGAAGTTAAAAAAATAAATTCCCTAATAGAATTACTTTGAATGGAAATATCATCTCTAATTATTTTATTATTTGAAAGGAAAAAGAGATATCGATGATTAACTGCATAGATGAGAAACAAAGTATCAAATAAAAAAAATTAGAAATAGAATCATAGAAACCTTAGACAAAGGAATTAATATTGTCTGGGATAGATATGCATACTCTGGTGTTGCTTTCTCATCTGCAAAAGGACTATAATAAATAGGTAGATAATGTGATTCAGGATTGCCAACACCAGATATTGTAATGTATTTAAGAGTTCCAATTAAACTACGAAAGAATAGAGGAGATTTTGGAGTAGAGAGATTTGAAAAATAAGAATTTTTCATCTAAAGCTTAAGGGGTTTTTTATAAAATAGCTTAAGAAGAATAATTTAAGTATTTTCATCAATTATGGAATTTGTGAATGATTACACTTAGAATGGCCATGCTAATACAATCAAATATCTTCGGATTTGATTTGATTATTATTACTTATTCAATCTCATTTTATGATAATAATTTTAATTAATACTAAATTATTTTACAAAATCTCTATGGATAGCTATATAAATATTATTTTTTGTTTTTATAAATTATTAACAACCTCAGAACCTTAAAGAAATATCTGACATTGATATTTTTGTAATTTAAGTATTTATATTTGATTATAAAAAAAATGCTTAACTTATTAATTAGTTTAAATTTCTAAGAAATAAAAATAAGTTTTTCTTTGTAGAAATAGAATTGATAAATTTTCAATAAGAAAAGAATAATGAAAATTAATTCTTTGAATTAAAGAACAAGAAATAATAAAAAAATTTGACCACAGAGGGATTCGAACCCTCGCCCTTGCGGACTGCAGCCTGAATGCAGCGCCTTAGACCACTCGGCCATATGATCGAATATTAAGTACTTATTCAAATAGATGATTATAAATTATATCACTTTCTAATTCTAATTTTTTGCATAATCTTATCTGATTCAGATGGATCCCATTTTCTAAGGATTAACTTTACAATATGTAAAGGTAACCAACTAATGAGTACTAAAATTAAGACATTTATAATGAATTTTTAATCAATTTCTGCTAAATTTATATAACTCTATAAAAAAAAAATAGATCCAGCATAAATTCCTAATGTAAATAACTCTGCCAAAAACATTACCAATCTAAAATTATTAACTTCTGTAAAAACATTTAATAATTCAGCAACAATTAAACTACTAAATGTAACTGTAACTAAATCAAGAAAAGTATTTTGAAAGACAGCAAAACTATATACCATAATAACAGCAGCTAAATTATATAAATAAATAATTACCTTAATAAATAGATTTAAATAGCCAAAGCAAAAAAGTCTTGACTGTCAATTCTCTACCTTTAAGCAAGGCTTTATACAACTCTGTATATTCAAGAGCCTTTTCTTTAGTTACATCTTAATCAAAAATTAAACAAAAAACAGGAAACATTGTGTAGACAGTAGCATATCCTAGCATAAGCCAACCATTATAGATAGGAATGGCTACAAAGTAAAATATAATTGAAAATATGGTTTATATAGATGCAATAACTAATCCTCTATGCATAACAAATTATGCCATTACTGCTGTTCTTTTATAAGCCAATCTACCATGCCATAATAATAAAACAGCTAAATGCTTAAATTTTAATATAGAAAAATCACTAGCTAAAGCTGCCTATTTTCCTTCTTTGCCTACAATACCTACACCTACATCAGCTGCTTATATCATAGCTACATCATTTCCTCCATCTCCTATTGATAAAACTGTCTTTTAAGTATGTTCTTTAATCAACTCAGTTACTTATGCTTTTTATGTTGGTGAACATCTACAACATACTACAGCTGGAGCATTACAAGCAACATGGAAAAATGCAGTATGTTGAAATTCAAGGGCTACTTTTAATGATTATCCATCTATAACTAATACACTATTATTTTTCAAAGCAAATTAATTAAGTTCATTTTGTAAAATTAAAGAATCTTCGATGTCCTTAATCACGAACATTTCTTATGTAGGACTTTTCAATCCAGTGGAGATAGCTATGCATTAAGCTGTTTCTACTTTATCTCCAGTTAACATCCAAATTTAGATACCAGCATTTTTTAGAGATTCTAAAGTTGCATATATATCTTCTTAAAGCATATCTTCAACTCCTGTTAATCCTAATAATTCCATATCATTCTCATAAAAATCTAATACTTTTGAACAACGTGCTTCTCTATCTTCCATTTAATTCTTTGCTTTCTCATATTCTGTTGTAAAATTTTTCAAATCATCTTCTGTCAAATATTTTTGAGTTATCACCAAAGTTCTTAATCCTTCCCTGCTAAGACTTTCACATTCATCCATTAAAAATCCTCTTTATACTTCTGGTACTTTTTATTTCATTACTGAATCAGCTCCTTTTAAATAAAATATTGCACCTTTTTATCCTTAGATCTATAAAATTATTCCCATTCTTTTTCTTTCTGATGTAAATGGAAATTCATATAATATTTTATATGATTCCGGTGTTCCCCCTGCATTTATAATATTTATTTCTTATAATTATCTATTAACTAATTTGAATCCAACATCTTCTGCAAAATTAACTAAAGCAATTTCATCCGGGCTGCTTGCTTAAAACGTTCTTTAACCATCTTCTTCTACTGGTGTAACATTATGACATAATGATAAAGCTGATATCAGATCTCTAACAATCTAATCTTTATTTCTTTTGAAAGCTTTTATTTTTCGACCTCCTGATTCTTAATATTTCTTCAATACATCTTCCATTGGATATTTACTATTAGTGCAATGTTTCTTGATCATTTTTTTTAATAAACCTAAAGTTTCAACTGAGAAAGACATTCTTTCCAAAGATAGTTTTTTAAAAATCATTGTATTTTAAGTCAAAGTACCAGTTTTATCAGTTAAAACATAAGAAATTCTACCTAGTTCTTCAGGAATAGTGCTATTTCTTGCAAGCGAACCATCGATATCTTTATCATTTGAAATACAATAGGAAAAGTATAATTTAGAAAAATCTAAATTAACTCTTAAAGATATTGGAATGATTGAACTTAATAATAGAACATGTCTAAATAATTAAAGCAGCCATTCATTTTAAAATCCACTACTTAATACAATAGTAAATGCTGTACAAACTAAGAGAACACATAATAATTTTGCTAGTTAATTTAATTCATTATCTAATCTTCCCATTTTAGTTCTCGGTTCTCTTGAATTTAATGCAGATCTACATTCTTTTCCAGTATATACCACAACAGCTTATATTTTTCCTGAAGCTAAAAATGTATTACACCAAAGTGTATTTTCTAATGACAATGCTTCTCTTTAACCTTCCCCTCCACCTACCTCTAACTTAAATAAGCCTTTAAAATCATATATGTCTAATTTAGGTGGTTCACAAGTGATGGATGCATTAAGTGTTGTTAAATTTTTATTTAAGCCATAATTTTATGTATGTCTGATTGCTTTCCTCAACTTCCAATCAGTTTCTCCATCCAATTAATCTGTCCTTATAAAAACAGTTCCAGTTACATCATTTGTATGGAGTAATATTAAATCTGCTGGAATTCTTTAGTTAGCATGTACTTCAATAATATCTCCTACTTTTAATTACCAACTTTAGAGTTATGTTGTTTTATCCTTTCCTATTTATGTATATTCTTATGAATTTGCCTCTTTATCTCTTTTATACCTTTAAAAATCATCATAGGCTTCTTTAAGTAAGGTTAAGATCAATACAAATGCTAATGGAGCAACATAACTAAATAAAAAACCCACTTTTAACAAAGGAACGAATTATGATAGTGTGATAAACAAAAATATTAGATTGAAAAAGTATCTAAACTATTGATAGAGCACCATTGGAACAAATGACAAAATATTGTACTTTTAGTTTTTCACTAAATTTGGCATATTATTTTAAGGGTAGACTTTTCCATCTAAATAAATGATTCTTTATTCCACTTCTTTATCAGGTGGTTTAAGAAGATCATTAAATTAATTCTTAATTTTTTCGAAAAACCCCTATGTTTAGATTTATGGTTCTTATGGTTCAATTAATTATTGCTTAAGAGGTTCCTGTCCACTATTATCAAATTTCCAACCTTAAACAGTTTTGTGATTAGTTCCAGTTAATTCAAACTCCATAAGGAAATTGTAATTTATTTTTATATTAATCAGAACTAGTATTTTTTATGTTTAACACTTCTTCTGGTTAAAGAATTCGATATGTTAAGGAAGCATCAGGAGCAAAGTCAACAACATAAAGTTTCAAGTATAAATCTAAAGAGTGTGATTTATCAGCTAATGATAGTACATCTTCAGCCCATCTTAAACCTTTAATTCAAGTGTAAGTTCTAATCAATACAAATTAGTAAATAATCTTATAATTAACATTTTGCAACAGCCTTACCTTTAAGAAAATTAGCTAGTCCTTAAAAATAAGCTCCAGTAGATGGAAGAATAGTTGAAAGAACATACTCATCTGTTAGAACAAGCAATTATGTTAAGAGATCATCTGTTGCTCCAGAAAAGAGAGTAGAAAATAAAAGCGTTATTTATGAAAAAAGATCAATAAAAATGCCTATTTATCCTCCACCTTCTACAAATGTAATTGAAGAAAAACTTGAAGATGATTAAATTTAAGGTTAAGGTAGTGAAATGCAAAGTTAAAAAAGAAGAAAAAGTATCACATTTTTTGAGTTAACAGCTCATATTAATTAATAACAAGATAATTAAGAAATATTAGACATTATGTCTAAATATTCTGAAAAAGAATTAGTAATAATAAATTTAATTTTAGAAACAAGTTTAAAATTTAAGAGTAATCATTAATGGACAATTTGATGAAAGAGAAATTTTTGTAGATATTAGCTCTATTCCTTATGAATGGAAATTAGAATAAATTGCTTAATAATTAAATGAAATCTACAAATCCTAATTTAATTAAAGTCTTCGCAATCCTGCCATTTCTGTGCTTATAGGAAAGATTCAAACCAAAAAGTTAAGTAAAGATATGAAAAAATATGAACTTGTTTTAATGTCTTTAAAAGGATAACTTAAAGAATCTTTGATAGTACTCGAAGATAGCTCTTGAAAATATAGTAATGCTTTAATTTTATAATTCAAACTTTTAATTACAGAGTCTTTTATTCACATTTGTTCAATTGATCTAATTATAGATGGTAAATCTATTTCCTTATTCATCCTCAAGATTGTGCCACTTTAATTATCAATCAATTTAATCCAATGTGGACATAATTTTATTAGTTAATCAATAAAATTTTTTAATTAATTTTCATCAAGCATAAATTGCTTAAGACTATTTAGAGCATATTTCACAACATTTAATAAAAACATATTTGAAACATCCCTTACAAGATAATATTAATGAATTAAAGAGGATAGAGCAATTAATTATTTTTTTGGTGCTAAATGATCAGTTTGAATAATTTCTAGTTTCTTTTTTTATTTTAATTTCTCTATTAAAATTTAACTGACTTTTGAATAAGTTGGTTCTTTCGATACTTAACTTTAGATTTCATGTTTTTAAGGTTATTATTATATTTATTTGGTTAAGACATTTTATACTTATGTTTTAATTTGGGATTGTTATTAAATTGTGTTTTAGGGTAAAATTGCTAAACCAATTTATTCTCCATTTTTTTATATATAGTCAAACATTAATTGTTTGAAATAATGGAGACGTTCCCCCAACTAAACATGAGACTTAATATTTGCTCTGATGATTAAATCACTTCTATCTAATTGTATTAATTTTTCATTTAATGACCAATTGACATCATAAGCATTAGGATAGATTTCCAATATTTATTGAATTATTTATTAGGTGACTTTAATTTTTGAATTTTGGCTCAATAATTCATAAATTGTATTTAAGAATGGCGGTTTTTATTAACTTTGAAGAAATAAAAGCATTTCATCTATTTCTTTAAAAAAGTGACACAAATTTGAATATTTACTATACATTAACATTTTATCGATTGAAGTGATCAAATGAAGATTAGAGAATCTTTCCCTCAATGATCCTTTAGCTAAAATTGATGACACACTTTCTGCTTTTTCAGGAGTCTTTTCTTTTTGTTCTTATGGTAACTTCTATTATTAGCTTTCAAAATATTCCATTCCATTAAACGTCGAAGAATCTTCGTTTAATTATTGTACTAAAACTAAATGTATAAAATGTACTTTAATTTTTTACTCTTCTTTTTGGCTCATAAGTGTCTTCTGGTTCTTTGTAAGTATTGTTAAGTTTTGCCATTTTAAGTACTATTATAGAAAATAACATATACTTTATTAAGGTCTTTTGGTTTCTTTTTAGTAATTTGTTTCCATCTAAAATAATTGTTAAATTTTATCAATTAAAATATAATGTTCAAATTTTTTAACAAGAAAAAAAATAGAAATCTTTTGTTATCTAAAAATGATGTCAGTTGAAGGTTATTAAGGGGACTTCTAAATTTCAAGTAAAATTTGGTTATTTTAAATTATTTTATTATCAAGTAAAATTATTTTTAAAAATGATAGAAAATTAATCCAAAGAAATTTGTTTAAAATCTAAGCAAAGGAATGCTAGGATTTTTCACTAGACAAGAGGATAGAAATTTTAAGAAGTAGAATTAAAGAGGCTCACAAGTTAAAGTGAAAAAATGAGCTAAGCAATTTAAAAGATTACAGGATTTGTTATATAAGAGTGGCACTAGAAAAGGAAAAGAAAAAAAAGAGTTCTCTTTAAAATTAGAATTATAAAAAAAATTTTAATCTAAAATAATTAAAACTTTATTATAACAAAGAACTTAAAAGCTTGTAAATTACCTAAAATAATTATTTCTCAGTTGATGTAAATACAAAAATCAAGCAACTACGGTAAGATCTTGTTAGAAAAGATAAAATGAGATTTAAAATATAATGATTATAAATATTCAAAGACGAAATTCAAATTTAAGGGTTATTTCTCTAATTGTAAAATGTGAACTTTGATCTTAATTCAAGTAACTTTAAAAGCATCAAGCAAATCTTCAAGTATTATGGAATTTAAGAACAAAAAAAAGGAGATTAAATGATTTTTCAAGAATAACTTAGGTGAACCTCAAAAAAATAAGATTAATTTGAAAGAGATATTAATTGTAATTTTTGTTATTTATTATATTTTGGAAATAAATTAAATGCATTTGCATTCTATAAAAAATATATTATTCATTTAATTAAACTCATCAGATTCTTTACCTTCTCAATTTCAGTAAAAAGCTCATTAAATTATGCTAGTGTTAATTCAAAATGTGTAGTTTCTTCAATCATATTTTTATCAATTGTTTTGATCTTAAGCTATAAGAAACAATCGCTATAGTTTTCTTTTGAACTATTAGCAGTAGCAACTTAAAATAATTGGAAAAATATACTTGAAAATCTCCATTCTACATCTAACATCTTCTTATTAGCTATGAATTCTTATACACTCATAATTATTGTTATTAATTATATTTAATATTATGTAAGTATTAAGATTTGATTAATTAGTTAACAGAAGTCCATAAATAGAGGAGCTTTGTAAATGTATGATTTGTTTGGAAATATTCATTGATCCAATGTGCTGTGAAAGTTGTGAAAATCATTTTTGTTAAACTTGTTTAACAACTTGGAGTTAGAACTAATCTGCACGAAGTTGTCCTGTTTGTAATAAGTTAAAAGAAAAGTAAGGTTAACGTATTTTAAAAAATATGCTTAATGATCTTGATGTGTATTGTTGTTATAAATAAAATGGATGCTTAGGAATTTTGAAATATTCTGATTATTTCTTCCACATTAAATCTTGCCAGTTTAAATAAGTGAAATGTGAGTATGAGGGATGCAATATTGATATTCTTTTAAAAGATAAGAATCAACATGATAATATTTGTCTTTTTAAACTTTTATAATGCAAATGGTGTTCATAAGAGATATTACGAAGAAACCTAGAACAGCATGAATAAAATGAATGTTTCGAAAGAAAACTTCTTTGTTCAAAGTGCTTATTTGAAGTTCCCTTTTTGATGATGCAAAATCACATAGATAATTGTCCAGAAAATATTGTATCTAATTTATTCAATATCTTATTTAGTTATAATGTTAATTATGTTTTTCTAATATTAAATTAAAAGATGTAGAACAACATGATAAAAATGATTGTCCATAAGTTATTGTCAAGTGTTCAGGTTGTTGGGAAAAACTAAAACGAGTTTCTATGATACAACATATGAAATCATGTTAATTTGTAGAAATTAAATGTGAAAATTGCTAAGAACTAATTTAAAGGAAAGATCTAAAGGATCACACTATAGCCAAATGTTTTAAGACTCTAAAATAAATTATCACAGATTAATCACGATAGATTAAGGGATTATATACATTCTGCGAAGAATTATCTTAATAAGTTAGTTTTTTGTCTTAAATGCAATAATAAATTAAATTTTCAAAGTATTTTAAACACAAGGATATTGATGTTATAAGTAATGGAAAAATAGCATTGATAAATTAAAATGAAAATAAAAAGTTTGATAGATTGATTGCTATTAAGAATTCAAAAAATAAATCTATAGAAATTGAATTTCTTCACATTTCAGATTTAAATGTGTGTATTGGAATAACACAAAGATCAAATATATTTAATCCAAAAGATTATTCAAAACCTAATCATTAATCTTATTTATTTTGTGCAAATGGGATAGTATATGTAAATGAAAGTAAAGAGGAGAATGGGAAAAAAAAAAATTTTGGTTTCGTAATTGGCCAAAAATTAGAATTGCTTTACAATGACAAATTCGTTAGCATAAAAAATTGCATTACTTAGTAATATCTTAAATATAATATTACTTATGATAACTTTAATAAAGATGACATCGAACTCTATCCTGTTCTTTGTTTAAGAAGTAATAATGATAAAGCTCGTATTTTAAATTGAAATTTATCGATATATATAGATAAAAGATAATAACATCTAAACTCATAATTATTAATCTTCTTCATCATCATCTTCTTAAAACTCCATTTAATTATATATATTGACATTTGGATCTTTACTTTTATCACCAGATGCTAACATTCTTCTTATAATTGCATAGGCAAAGAAAATGAGAAAAACAAGTAATGCAATTATTGTTAAATATAGAAGGATTTCATTAAAGTTGAAGTTTTTAGGACAATAAGTTTCAATAGAATCTAAATCTAGACTTATTTAATTATACAAAAATATACCCTCCAACACATTAAGTTAATTTAATGTATCCTTATGATTTGAAATAAGTTGTACCAGGTTCACAATAATCAGAAATATTTACAATAGGTAAACAATCTCCTCCTTCTAATTAACTAGCATATCCTGAGGCACAAATCCAATCTTCCCTTTTACAGGGACAAGGTTCAATAATTTTTTTAGTAATCATCTATTTTGGATTAAAACATTCTGAATTTTCTTTTTTCCTATAATATTTAGTTTAAGATCCATCAATACATTTAGAATTCCATATATCATAATCTAAATTTGACTTACAATCTCTTTAAAAGATGTCACTAAAATCTAATCTTAAGATGATTCCTTCCCCTTTATCAGTTTTGCCATAAATAAGAAATTATCTAACTGTACCAGAAGCCTCAGTAACTAAATTTTGGGCTATAAATAAATCATCATAAATGATTTTAGTTTTCCATGTTTTACCATAATCAATAGAATAAATAATTTCATTGGTAGGTTCAAAATCTTTTGCCATTACAATAATCCCTCCAAAATCTGCAATCTCAAACACATGAGAACCTTTTCTTACTTCAATCCAATTCTATCCTCCATCTGCTGACATATATGTATTTTGTTCTTATGTTATAAATAATCCAACATTTCCAACTCCTAAAACTATACCAGGTGCTTAATCTACTGTATATATTGTTTATCTATAAGATTCAGTTCTTCCTACAAAATGTAAAGAGCATTCTCCTCCACATTCCACTATATTCCCTTCTGAATCAAATTTTGGAGCTTTTATAGATTCCCATTTCTTTCCTCCATTAAAACTAATAACTGTTGATTTAGCTTTTTAATCTCTTTAATCATATGTATTTGCTACATAAGTTTATGTTAAACCTAAAAGTTTTTCAAAATCACAATTTCCATCTGATGTTGATCGAACATTATTTGTTAAAACTATTTAGAAATCTTTACCTAATTAATTACTAATATAAACATTAGTTATTGATTGTTCTTATTAATAATGAGAAACAGATAAGTATATTCTACCATTTTCAGTATCCAAAACTGTATATGAAAATTCTTTTAAAATTTGCAATGGTAACTCTACTAATTTCTCTTAAAATTCTTCCAGTTTTGAATGACCATAATGTAATTCATATCCTCCATTATTAGAAGATGTTAAAACAAATAAATATTTCTAAGTTTAATAGTAACCTTATGCACCAACCATTAAAGTATGATAATTAGTAAAATCATCAGAGTAAATCAATTAAGTTTAATTCTCATAAGAAAATAATACTATAGATCTTTCATCTGGAACTGCAATATCTTCTATAACTTTATCCCATGAAGCTTCTCTACAATTTTTAAATGATGGTAACCATGTCTTTGCTCCATCTTCAGAATAAAATAATTAATTATTATATGGCTCTCTACAATCCATGTCAAAATGATCACATTACTATTTTTTAAATGCTAACATCCATTTCCAACTCATTTTATTTAATCTAAATCCATAAAAACCATCTATGTTTATTTCCTCGAAATTTTCACCACAATCATTTGTTCTATAGCTTTTCTAACCTTATTGACCAAATAAATATATAACACGTGAATCTGCAGGAGATACCTAAATATCTTCAAATAAACCCTCAATTTAATTCCAAACAGTTCCATTACTTTAATATATAAGATGAGCTTCAGTAATGAAAAAAATTGTTTTTTCTTCTTCCAAACCTTGAAATTAAGGTATTGTTTCATCTTCTCTTGTATAAATAATAGAAGCTCCACACCATGATATTTATGTAATAGGCCTTTCTACAATAATTGAAAAGGTAAGAAGAAGTAGAAAAGGTAAGAAACGAATTACAAACATAATCGTATTTAATTTTAATAATTATTATTCAACAACATTGTGAACTTTTTTTATTTGTATTTCCTATTACCTAGGTTTATGTTATCTATCCTATTTTCATATTTTAGGCTGAATCTGCTTTAACAGAATTCTAACTTTTCTCAAGAACATTTTTAGCAATAGTCAAAAAGGATTATTCTATGTTAGTTGATAATTTGGCTGAAGTTTCTATGAATTACAATTTTAATTGTTTTGCTTATATTCATTAAGAATACTACCTAATGCCTCACCTTCCTCATAAGACACAGCTCTTTTGTCCTCCATATCACATTTGTTTCCTACCAACATCCTTATCACATCTTCTTAAGCATACCTATGTATATATTCTATAACAATACTTATCAATTTCAGACATCCACATCTTTACAGAGTCAAATGATTCTCTGTCTGTTATATCATAAACTATTATTATCCCATGTGCTCCTCTATTTTTTCAAAATATTCATTACCGATAATAACTACATGTGATTGTTCTAAATCTGTCTTAACCTGCTGTATCCCACTAATTATATTTAATATATTTTTACTATCTACAACTTTATATTTTTATTCTCTAAGAATATCGATTTGATTTTCTAATTCTTAAAATAATAAATTACAAAATCCACTCCTATCGTATTATAAAAGTTATTAGTAAAATTATTATCGACATATCTCATTAACATACACGATTTTCCAACTCCACTTGTACCTATTAGTAACAATTTAAATAAATGATCGCTAACTTTACTAAATGTTTATACTATTCACTGCTTTCTTTATTTTACATTTCTTTAGGTTTATTCAGAAAATTTAATTTTTAAAAAAATAATACAATTATAATTAATAATTTCCTTATTTTAATAATTATGTTTGTTTTTATACTGTTCTTTCACCATTTTATCATCTCTCTCTTTAAATAGTTGAATAATCCAAAAGGAATTAATTATTTAAAATTCTAATTTATATAAACTCTCTTTACTTCATAATTTTCTTCTCGAATTCTGAAAATCTCTTCTAAAACTGTCAGCAACATGAAAAAATCTCCAAGAATTTCTGGTTATTTCTACAGTTCTTTTGATTGCAACATAAAGAAAATAGTTGATTTTATGTAAAATCTATTAATTTTATTTTAATATCTACCCTAAATATGAAACAAATAAAGATGAATGTAATTAGTTGAATTAGTTTAAGAATCCTACTATTCCTATCAATAAACAATTTGGTTCATATTGTAGTTAATTATCTTTTGCTTTCTTTACAAGACAATTAAGTTTTTGATCAAAGTCCATTAAAGGTAATTAATTTAATATCACCAAAGCTAAAATCAAAGGAGTATGTCTAATTATATTTAATATATTGTTATTACTCAGGCATTTCGCATAATGCATATATTTTTCTAATAGGATCAGATAATCCAACATAATTGAATAATTTTGTTAGATCAAAGAGCAGATTATTTTCCATTTAAGTTTTAACATCTGATTCCATTGTTTAATCGTATTGTCTATTAATGAAATCATTAATAATAGTATTATTAAGGGTTTCTAGACATAAGAATAATCTAGTTGATCCAACTTTAGCTTTCATTTGTAGAACTAAACATATCAGTTTTCTCAAATTGATATATTGTCCAATCTATTAGAGAGGATATATTAATTTAGAAATTAGAGATTTAAATTGTTTAGTTAGTTATTTATAAACCTTATCGTAATTTTCATCATAATTAGTAAATAATCTAACTTATTTAATCAAAGTATCAATATTATTTCTAGTTTCCTGAGTTAATTCAATTTTTAGTATTTTGACAATATCTTTGATAGTTTTTGATAAATGTTGACTAAGAAGTAAATCAATTCCATTCAATCCACTTACTCCAATACATTTTAGTATCAATCCGATAGTCTTTAAATTCAATACATCTCTACCATTGCTATCATAAAATCCTAATGTTGATTCGACAAATACTATTTCTCTAGGGTTTGTGATGGATATGATTTAATTTAACAATCTACCAATAAAATTGATAGCTCCGTATTATTTGCTTTTATCATCTGGCATAGGAATATCTTCATCATAACTTAACTCTTCATATTCTTTATTTCCAGTAATTAAACCTTTAAGTTCCATTGAAGTATAACATTCTATCAATCTATTAAATTCTTCAGTAAACATTTTCAATCCTTAAGCATTAACGAAATCTTAAATTTATTCCATAGCTAATTTAAATCCATTAATTTCTTCTCCCAATTTAGATAATTTTGATTAAAAATCTGAAACATCTTTTTTAGGGAATATTAATTATGAATCAAGTATTTTATGAATTAATGCCATCAATTCTTTTCTAATACCTTGATCAAGCATATCTCTGGGATTTACTTCAATAGATCCTAACAAATATGGATCAACTGTTAAAATTGATTCTGTAAAGACGGAAATAGAATTGGTTAATTTGGCAATTTGTGTTCTATCTTCATACTAAGCATAATCTTTCAATTCTATCTTATTAATCCTAGAAGGTAATGGTTTTAACACTGATGTTATTAGCGTAATAATATCTTAAAGTACCTCAAAAATTTAAATAGGAATAATTTGAAGTACTTCCTTAACAAATTTCACAAGTTCTCCAGAATAGTATTTAGTGACACTATTTAAATCTGGACTTCCAGCTTAAATGATACGAATTGTAGGGGTATTTAAAATTGAAGATAATTTTTAGAATGTAGTTTTTAAACTTAAAGCTGAATGAGGATTACTTTACACCTTGGCTTACATTAAATCTTTGTATCCTTTTAAACATTACCATGAATAACTAAAATCTGCAATAAATGAAATATGTGAAGGCAAAGTGCTCTTTATATGGACTATTTTAACCATATGTGTTAAATCTTTCCTTGTTTCATTTAAGTAATGCTTCACTTGTATAGATGTAGAAATTTAAGGATATTATTCGATATCTTCTAATGCTTAAATTAATCTTTGTATTTTTCTTCCTGCATGAGTACTATCACTATAATTTAAAGATTATATTTAGTTTCCCATTTCTGTAAACCATTACATATATGATTCATCTGCTTTTACCTTTCCTAAAGCCTTTCCAGAAAAATAATCAGATAATTCTTACATTCTCTCAACGCATTTAGCTTTGTCTTCATCCCAATACTATTGCTTATTATCAATAATAGCTCTTATAGCTTTTAATAAACGATTTTCAAATTTAGAACTCTATAAAAGCAACTATAAAACCTCCTATTTATCTATTTTATTTAATAATTCTCTTGCTTTCTAAATATTAGTATTAGAATGAAGCAAAATCCATCTAATTGCTATATTACTTTCTCTAACACAATTCATTAAAGATGATATCTTATCCAGAACATATTCCTATGTCATCTATCCTTCATAAAGAAACTCTTAAACTTTATTAATCTATTCTGTTAGTTTAGATTGATAAAAAGTCACTAAATCTTATATATATTCAAAAGTGACTGTATTTTTTATTGCTTCTCTTGCAGCAGGATATGGCTGCCATTATTCTGATAAATCGACAAAATAACCCAAATAAAAAGATATTACCCATTAGTCATAAAAATGCTTATCAAC